AATCTAAGACTAAAAGAATTCAACCGTCTCTAAGAAAGCATCACTGAACATTGCCAAGTAGAAATGGAGTCCTCGCTCCCTAGAAAGTCTTTCACCACAAACATTTCACTGCATCTTTTTCTGTTATTTATTTCTATGCTTATTTCTTTGGAATATGTATAAGTAGATATGTATAATTACAACAATACTATATAATATGTGCCTTGGTTTCTTAATTCTGGTTGTTTCCCCAGTGAGGATTTCCTTTGTTTCAAACAGGATAAAATGTATTTTTCCAGTCATAGTCCATTATCCCTTAAATGTATATTTAAGATAAAGCTCAGCAAATTATCACCTTTGAAACCAGATAGTGATTTTTATGTATAATATTGCTAGAGTCTTATGAGTCATTTTTCATTATTTATAACACATTATGAAGTGATAGATCATTGGAAATGCCATGTTAAGAAAATATCATTTCCTTTCTCAAATGAATAAAACATATGTCTTTTTCCCCAAAATGAGATAGGAAGCAATAAAAATATTTTTCTGGAGTTATATAAATTATCTTTCATATATTTTGGGAGATCATCCAAAATACAAATATCACAAAATATCAATGTGGTATTTGAACATAACTTTTAGCACATGTGAATTTTCTACATCTAATTATACTCACCACTAGCACTTCTTATCTTGAGTGCATCAAAGCATTTCACACATCATAATAAAGATTTTTTTAATTGAAGATTTAATTTGGGGTGATATTCAACAAAGAAATTCTGCAAAAATAATCTTCATAAAATTCTATCCTATATAATAAAAGCCTAATATTCAAATTGACCAAATGGCAGAATGACTGGTAGCTATGACGCACACTGACCACCAGGGGCAGATGCTCAACACAGGAGCTGCTGCCTGATGGTCAGTACGCGCCCATAGGGGGAGTGCTGCTCAGCCAGAAGCTGGGCTTACAGCTGACTAGTGCAGCAGCAGTGGCAGGAGCCTTTCCTTCCTCTGCTGCAGGCGGGTGATAAGGAGCAAGGGGTCCCGGACTATGAGAGGGATGTCTGACAGCTGGCTTAGGCCTGGTCCCGGGGGGCAGGGGGTGATCTGGTCTAGGCCAGCAGGTGGACATCCCCCAAGGGGTTCCAGACTATGAGAGTGCACAAGCTGGGCTGAGGGACTCCCCCACCCCCAATGCACAAATCTCATGCACCGGGCCTCTAGCATATGGCCACAAACTCAATTTCTAGAGCACTACAACGAGTGCTCTGTTTCAAGATAAATATACAGCAAATGGAATCAAACCAACCCATTATTTTCATTTTTACCTATGATAATTATTTGTTAAAATGAAATGAATACAAATAGCAATTTTTAACAAGTATGGTCAGCTAAATAAATAGCTTTAAAAACTTTATTACGTCTCTCTGTCTTTCATTTAAAATATCTTCCCCTGCCATTATTTTAGTTTTGGGTCCTCTGCAATTATTATTTTGGATGTCGAATTGCTCTTTATCAGTAACACCTGTAAAATATGTCTAAGAAGTGGCAATGGACATCATCTCAATTGCACAGGGATGTGCTACTTTTAGAGTCAGAAGAAGAAACTATCCATTTCAGTCAAGGTAGAAAAAAAGTACAGATCTCATAGAGAATATTTTTATTTATATTCATTAGATTACTCAAAGGATATGTAATCTAGAGTGTTTGTGTAAGGATGACATTTCAATGTAATCTTGGAATCTTAGATGGAAATTTAACCATTAACATGTTTACCTAAAAAAAATGAAATTAGGAGATTAGAAATTTGGGAAAGAAGGAAGGAAAACAGAAATAAGAGAGGGAAGAAGGGAAGGTAAAATACATAAAGAGAAGATGAGAAAGAAACAGGCAAAGAGGGAGTACTTGTATTCCTAATCTGGGCCAAGAATTTTCACTGGTATTGTATCATTTAGCTATCAGTCTAACCTTGAAATAATGGTATTACCTATATTTTAACAATGAAGTAATTGAAGTTCAGAGAAGAACAGCTTAATTTCACAATTAACACAACTTGTAAGAATACAGATCTTTTTGCTGGTGGAGGGTCTTGACTTCAATTTGTAAAATATGTAACATCTGTGAAGCAGAATAAATTGAGGCATGCCTGCAGCATCTAACTTCAAAGCCTATATTTTTTTTTTCACATACCACACTAATATTCTAGAAGTTGCCTGAATGTCCTATGAGCTTTTCTCCTGCCTGATTTATGGAAACCGCTCAATCTGGCTATTTTCTAGCACACTGCAGCATGCTTGATACCCAAGAGACACTCAATGAATGATTCCCAAAAGCAGAAGAAATGGGAAAATGAGTTTTTGTTCTTATAGAGGAAACAAAGGGAGGGAGACATCAAAAGATGAGAATGACACTCAGCTCTATTTCGCTTAAAAAGTAAATTTGCTTGAATTGAGTTTAAAACGTAAATTCAGATTAGCTATCACCAAGAAGTGTGATTTGGACTCAGATTATCTCTAAACTGGGAAAACACACACACACTCACACAACAGAAGTTGGTTTAAACCAGTGACTTATCTGTGTATTTTCTTCTGCTCTAAGGAAGCTCAAAGGTGTGGTAATAGATTCTGAGGACGTGATGGATCCTCACAGACCATATTCCTACCACAAGATTAAATCCCAAATAAGCATGCCTTCCAGAGGCTCCTTCAGACCTGGAATTAGCCTGCCCCCAAACTCCATCTCATGTATTTTGAAGCCTCATCACCTGGACTGAGCTGAATTTCCCAAGATGCAGGCCTGATACCTGAGATGCTTCTTGGGGAACTCAAGCATTAAACACTCAGACTGTGCTTTACACAACTGGTATAACAGGACGGCAGCAGCAGGTGTTTGGTTTGTTGCTGCTAATGGACAATTCACTGGGCAACTATATTAATTACAATAGCAAGATGGGCATAGCAAGTAGCAGAGACTCCAACTAAAATAGCTTTCAACAATAAAAGGAAAGTTAGCTCACAAGGTTGAAAAGCCTAGTTACATGGCGAAACTTGACTGAGTAGTTCAAGGGTACGTAGAAGGTTTCAACTTCTTCAGTCTTTCTACTCCACCTTCCACAGTATTGGCCTCTGTGATGAAACTCATTAGCTATGCACCCAAGTTTGTAGCTCATTCTGTTGACACGAGTGGACTATATGCATTTGCTAGCATTTTTTACAGTCAGGTTGTGGCCATATGACCAGCTTCTAGCCAAGAAGATGGCAAAACTGATGTGTCTACTTCCATGTGTAGCCCATGCAGGATTCCCATGCTTTCTCCTTCCACTTGCGGATAGAGAAAAACATCAGTCTTAGGAGCCATGTGTACAAGATGGAAAGCCTGGGTTGGCATCAGTTGAAGGAGAGCCACCTGTCCATGAAGAGCACCCAGGAAAAGAAGTTATAGTATTTGAGCTATTGCATTATTTTATTGACTTATTTTAAAAAACAGATACCAGAAGCAGAATGATGCCCCAACGACAAGCTAAACTTTATAAAGATGGTTTAGTTAGTTATAGATAAAACACGCTGAAAAGTGGTGATCCATATTGTACAACAGAAAAATATTTGATAAAACAAATGCTTCAGTAATTTGAAAGGTAATTATGAGGATACAGCACAGGGGAAGTGGTTGAAAAGATCCAGAATCTTAGCTATATATTGCAACTATACTAATAACTTACTGCAAGAAAGAGATCAGCTTAGGTAATCATTTTCAATCGCAAATAAAAGTAACATATAGATTCCAGGATTCAGGGCCTCAAAGCATTGAAAAAGTTGACTTATTCTGACCCTCAAACAATAAAAGGTAAGAGTGAAAAAAGCTTTAGACTACAGCAACCTAATAACATGTGGCATTCCCACAGATGCCTTCCGATGGTTTCTAGGTAGCCATTGTTGAGAATGAGAGGTGTGTGATAAGAAAACAAACATAAAATGAACCAGATTTCAGACTTATGCCTAGAAAGCAATGTTGGTGTATTAACTGTCAGGTGAAATTGCCTGGAAGCAAATAGTTCTACTAATTTTTGAGGAAAATGAATTGCTAACAAAGCCTGAACCAATACTAAAAATGCCTTAACCATTCATGCCTCAAACACATATGAGTCCCAAAATTTCATGAATATAAAAGAAGTATGACATTTCAGTGACCCTTAAGGAAGGACTGCTCCCCAAACTAATTTCAGCTATCGCCATGAAAGGTAATGGGGGATAATTAATAGGAAGTACCTCCTGGGAGAGGGGTTAGGACCTGCAGAAAAAAAAAAAAAAGATGAAAAAGTTTCTTACAGAAAGTAGAATAAAATCTAATCAAGGTATCTCCTGCATTTGTCAGGGGCAAGGGACCTCACAATGCCTGCCTGACAACATGGTCATCATTGTTATGGACCACAGGCTGTAGCAGAATCCCACTCTTCTTGTTGTTGTTTTATAAAAAAAAAAAAATTTTAGAGAGAGAGGAAAGGAGAGGAAGAAAGAGAAACATTGATGTGTTTCCTCCATGCCCCCTACCGGGGATTGAGCCCACAACCCAGGCAATATGCCCTGACTGGGAATCAAACCCAAAACGTTCATTGCACGGGAGAACACCCAACCAACTAAGGCAGAATCCCACTCTTTTCTTTGTTTAAATGGAAGTTTTAATTACAGTGATCTCATTCTTGTCCCAATACTTTTCATTGGTGGGCAGGGGAGAGCAAATAATTTTCTCTCCTTTGTCATGGAGTGTCTTCTATTATGTGGAAGAGTAAAAGTGGTATTTGGTGCCCATAAAGGTACCATATCACAGAAACTTGCCAACCATTCTCCAAAAACTCCTTCCAGTGTTTTCCTGGGATTATAGTTTGACTCTTATTTCCCACTGGCCTTTTGTTCAGATATGGCCATGTGACTGATGTCTAGTGAGGGCAATGTCACAGACGTGAGCAACCACTTTCAGACTTGACTCATAAAAATTACCTACATGTGATCCTTCATGCTTTTTCTCTTTCCGTGGCCTGATGGAAAAGAGATCTTGCAAGCTGTGTGCTGAGAATGCAGTAGCTGCAAGATGTAGAGTTTGGATGCTTCTGTTTCTAAAGGGGGTGGAGTAGAGGAAAAAGAATTATCCACCTTCTTGAAACAACCAATAAAATGGACAACATTTTTTTGTTGTTGTTAATCTTCACCCGATATTTTTAGAGAGAGTGGAGGGGAGGAAGAGAGAGGGAAGAGAGAGAGAGAGAGAGAGAGAGAGAGAGAGAGAGAGAGAGACATCAATGTGAGAGAGACACATCGATTGGTTGTCTCCCACACTCACCTGACCTGGGTGGGGATGGTACATGCATGCCCTTGACCAGGAATGGAACCTGTGGTCCTTCCATACATGGGCTGCCACTCTAACCATCGAACACACAGGCCAGGGCACATAATTTTAAACAATGATTTTCAGGGCCATAGCCATCAGGTAATGAAGAACAATGATCACTGAGAGACAGCAAACAAGGTACGCCCCTTGTAACTGCCTTGAGAGAGTTTGTAGGACATGGCTGAGGGAGCAAGAACTCAGGCACAGCCCCGTGTACTGTCTGAATTAAAAAGTCATAGATGGGAGTCTGGGGCACCAGGACAGCTAGAGTTCAGTAATATTTTCCATCCACAGTTGGGGAGCCACCTTTTTGGGGGGCCAACTTATGTTACATGCAGATTTTCCACTGTAGGGCAATTCAACACCCCAACCCCTGCATCAGTCAAGGGTCAACTTCACTATAAAGGAAAGAGCTGCCCAGGAAGAGAAATCAGAAGACATGCTGAGTTTACACCTTAAGTGTTTTTGCAAAGTGCTGATTAGCAAATGTGCACAAAGAAACTATTCAACTTGCCTCAAGTATGGCTCAAAATTAGAAGAGATTAAATACTTCTCTACTCTTGCCTAATAAATAATGAAAGCAAGTCCTGAAAGGATGAAAATGTTTATAACTAACATAACAGCATTTAAGAACAAAGCTCAAGGATGTTTTCAAGAATATAAAAACCAGGTGGCAAATGCTACTATGCCACCTAGCCTTTTCTTAAGACAAGAAATAAAGTGGCTTCTTAAGCATAGGTGTGCTATAGCCAACAATGACAAAGAGTAAGAAAATGTCTGAATGGATGCAGGTTTCCCAGTCACTTCCGACTCGGCAATGAAGTCCCATTAAATCTGGGAGAGCAAAACAGAAATAAGTGGATCATTTGGAGAACTGCTGATTTATGTGCCCTGGCATGCTTGTGGGTTTATCATCACCTTGGTGCTATGTGATGGCTGAAAATTACAGCATCATGTTGAACTCAAACTAGACTGGTATGAGAACAGTCAGTTCAGGTTATAAGCAAATCTATTGGGTAGGTCATTTGTTTGTACCCACCATCTTGTACAAAATCATTGGCAGTGTGTACCATTATAAAATAAAGGGATTTTTATTAAATGGTTCTTTAAATTTTTCAGTATTGTATTTTATAAATTTTTCAGTATTGTATTTTATAATGAGTGATTAATGTATTGACCCACTAAAATAGTATTTTAGTAGTTACAAGAATATTTCTAATAAAAAATAAATTAAAATGATAGTGACAGTGAAAAATATCCAAAGAATAGGCCATGGCAATTCAAAAGAACAAAATCAGTACACAAAAATTAAAACATAAACCAAGCAAATGCCTATTTGTATGATTAAACTCAACACTGGAATTTAAATTTCAAAAAAATGACATCACCTATCACATTTAATTAATATTTTAATTTTTAATTAAATAAGTCCTAGATTTATATATCTAATCTATGAATGTGTTTTGATTTTTAGTTTTGAAGAGCTAGGGAGTTCATAATGAGTCTTATTTTTATACATATTTTGGTAACATTGTAATTAAAATAAGTTAAACCAACTCTAGGAATCCATGACAATTTTTTCATTTTACAGGAGGTCTATATTATACTCAAGTTTGAGAAATAATTTTATATAGAACATTTTCTTATATGTGTAATTAGAGGGCTACTTCTACATTTCTGATATTCTCAAGTTGATGGGAAAAGTACCAGGAGAAATGGGAGAAGTAGATAGAGGAGGATTGTAGGATGAAAATGGACCACCCAGAAACTCCTTACACCTTAGACAATTAATAAAAACCCTTCATGAAAGGGAATCCTTCAGGGTTGGCATTGTTCCTTTCATTGATACCCTAGACTTAAAGTGCCTTAAGGAAGTTTTCATATCTTATTCACCATTTCCTTGCACTCCATCTTACTTAACAATATGCATTTAAGTAAATACAAGCCAAAATTGGTCAAAATTAAGGAAGTGGAAAGTGAGTCCATAAGCCACACATCTTTCAATTGAATAAAATTTATTGACTATGTATTGAGAACAGTTACTATGCTAGATGCTGTGGATGTACAAATGAAAATAATATAATATTTACCCATGAATAATCACTGAGAAATATAGAAATAAATTATATAACAGTATGGCAAATATACTAGAATATGGTAAATATATACATATAGTCCAGGAATTATTCCGAGGATGGAATAATTAATTTCAGAATGGTAGGGGTTAGAGGGAGAAGGGTAAAGGAAACTTTTAAAGAGGAGATGGTTCAAATCTGTTTTAATTACTGAAAGGATGTTTCTAAGTGGTATAGCCTATGGAGATCATTCTAGGCCAAGGGATAGTAGATTTTCTAGGTAAACAATGGCCAGAATTTTAAAAAATCTAACTGAATGAAGCAGTGAATTTTATGACAAAATTAACTATTTAGAAAAGTAATATGATATGTTACATTCACTAAAATTGAGTAATATATTGGACTTTACCTAGTTAAATATACTATACTTATTTAACTAAACTCATCTTCCTGAAATCAAAAAAGAAAATTTTATATTACAAAATATTCTCATATGGATGGTGCACATTAAGATTTTACACTTCAGCCCTAACTGGTTTGGCTCAGTGGATGGGGAGTCAGCCTGCAGACTGAAGGGTCCCAGGTTTGAGTCTGGTCAAGGGCATGTACCTTGGTTGGGGGCACATCCCCAGTAGGGGGTGGGCAGGAGACAGCTGATCGATGTTTCTCTCTCATCGATGTTTCTAACTCTCTATCCTTCTCCCTTCCTCTATGTAAAAAAATCAATAAAATATATTTTGAAAAAAAGATTTTACACTTCCTCTGGTGTACAAGTCAGAGAACCAGAGTAGAATTAGTAGGGATATATAGATAGATATAGATATAGATATAGATATAGATATAGATATATGGATAGAGAGAGAGATTGAGATTGCAGGAATTGGCTCATGTGATTATGGAGACTGAGAAGTCTCACAATCTACTATCTGCAAGCTGGAGACCCAGGAAGCCAGCGATTCAGTCTGAGGCTGAAGGCTTGAGAACTAGGGGAGCTTAGGGTGCAAATCCCAGTCCAAGGACTAGAGAAGATGAGAGATGTGTAAGCTCAAACGGTGAGAGGGAAAAAAAGGGGGAGGGGCAAATTCCTCCTTCCTTTGCCTTTTGTTCTACTCAGTCCTTCAATGTACTGGGTGATAGCCACCCACATTGGGAAAGTCAATCTTCTTTGCTGAGTCCACTGATTCAAATTTCATCTTACGTGGAAACACCCTCACAGAAACACCCAGAAATCATGTATAATCTGGACAATCTGTAGACAGTGAAGTTAACATATACATGTACCACATCTGGTTACCTCTGTGATGGGTACTGTGATCATATTTATTCTTTTTTGTTGTTGTTAATCCTCACCCAAGGAAATTTTTTCCATTGATTTTTAGAGAGAGTGGAAGGAAGGGGGAGAGACACAGAGAGAAAAACATCTATGTGAGAGATACACATCGATTGGTTGCCTCCCACAGGAGCTCCAACCAGGACCAGGGATCTAGCCTGCAACCTATGCTCCCTTGGTATCCTCCCTTGACCAGAATCGAACTCGGGACCCTTCAGTCTGCAGTCCAACGCTCTATCCACTGAGCCAAACCGGCTAAGGCCATATTTATTTTTATATCTTTGTTAAGAGAAGGGTGTTTGAACTGTACTTTTCTGTTACCAGAAAAGTTAGTGTAATAAAATAGGCTCACCACAAATAATGCAAAGATATGGATCTTAAAACATACTATTAGTGAATACAGTTAAACTAATATCCCAATAATTGATTCCTTGGCTTTGAGCTCATGAAATTACTCAGCAAAGCTTTAGTGTCTGGATTGAAACTGAGATGAATGCAGTTTAGTAGACATCTGCTAAATAAAAATAGGGCCTTAATAGAAAGTAATAACCAGAAAGTACAAATCATGTGACAGTCCTTTAGCTCCAATAACCGGAACTATGAAACTGAAACCTTGCAACATTTTGCCAAATGTAAGGACTTTTGAGTGATAATAAAAGGGATCTTGGCTGACAAATTAGGCATTGCTCATCCAGCTTCTTTGATGAGTGAACTTGGGTTCCTTGCCCTCTTACTGGGGATGTCTTCCCAGCATTCCGTGGTCTGTGTACCACCAAACACAAACTCTTTTTCTTAGTTCCTGTTCTCACCTACTACCCACTCCTCCCTCTACCAACTTTCACAGCTCCACCTGCACCATCTGCCCTGAAGCCCTTCAGAACTAATTCCATGGTGCCTTATTCCTGTTCTTATCTGTCATTTCCCTAGGCTCAGAACTCCCAGATCAATCTCTGAACGCTCCCCCTTATGACCCCTAATTGTGACCACACTTTTGAAATCCTTCCACTATGCCCTCAGGAACTCATATGCATTCTGTTACCAGCAAAATCCTCCTTTTCCATACCACTGTCTCTGAACAGTCTCTGTTCCTTCTGGAAACCAACTTTTGCTAAGGATCCTGTTTTCCCCATGGCTGTCTAACATGCTCCGTGTAATCATTAATATGTGGTTAGAAGTTGAGACAAGAGATCACGGGGGGACTTCCAGAACAAACCTTTCAACCTTCAGGCAAATGAGCTTCAGTGGCCTTCAGTGGCCATGCAATTATAGGAGAAACTAGCTTCCTTGTGTATTATTTTATGCTCCAACTGGAACAGACTACAG